AAGACGTCCAGGCTAAAACCTTGGCCTTCATCAGACTAGAAGAAGATCAACAGACACGACATCGACATGATGCATATGACGGGGGGCAACGTAAATCGGGCACATCCAGAAAACACGATTACAGAACCGGAAAACCCTATGTCAGAACCGATGATAGGCCGGTATCGTCGATAGTAAATTGGCTCGACGATCCAGACTTGCCACCTGTCATCACTCACTAATGTTTCAATGTTGCCACTCCGGGCCTCATTCACTCTCTGGAAAAATTAAGGGAAAAGGTCAGATGACCTTGAAAGACGGACAAACCAGCGGGCCGTCGCGACCCGAATAAACGCTGTGATTTCCACAACGATATCGGACACAACACGGAAGATTGCGTCGCATTAAGAAAGGAGGTGGTCTATTTGCTGAAAAACGGTTATCTGACGGATATCATGTCTGAACGCACCAAATCATTGTTAGGACGGAATGATAAAGCGTCACCAAGTGAATCTAGGCCGCCTTCACCCTCTGCACCATGTAAGGTAATCAACTTTATTAATGGTGGATTTGATTTATGTGGACTAACGTATTCTGCAGCAAAGAGACACGCTCGGGATTACACCCGAGACAAGTCGTTGCAGGTTTATAGGATCGGAAAACGTCAAGAGGAATGGAGAAATGCGTCAATCACATTTGACGAAACGGACATTTCTGATCCGATACAATCTCATCACGATACGTTAGTGGTCTCCCTTTGAGTGGCAAACTGCGAAGTCAAACGAGTCCTCGTGGACAACGGAAGCACCGCGAATATTACCACCATGAAAATGTTGAACGAACTGGGGGCCAAGGAGGAAGATATAACAGAGTCAGGGTCAAGCTTGGTCGGATTCAATGGAGAGCCGAGCAGAACCGTAGGTAATATTTCGTTACCCGTATATACACATGGTTTAAACATGCAGGTCAAATTCGACGTAGTCGAAAGCCTACCAGCATACAACATGATCTTGGGAACTCCCTGGTTGCATCAAATGGGGGCAATTCCGTCGACTTATCATCAAATAATCAAGTTCCCAACGCCATGGGGAGTGCAAAGCATCAGGGGGGATCAACAGTCAGCCAAATCTTGATACCAAACGGCGATGAAGCCGACTGCGGACCAAACTGCCTCCAAGATCGCATAGCAATTAAAGGGTGGCCCCACTCTGATGGAAGATGACGCCAAAACAGAAGAAGTCGCCATCGACCCGGAACATCCAGAAAGGGTCATCCGCATCGGGAAAGACATGCCAAAGCACCTCAAAGACGAATTGATAAGCTTCCTCAAAAAACATAAGGACGTGTTTGCATGGAGTCACGACGACATGACATGTATTGATCCTAATATCATAACTCACAGGTTAAACGTCAGCCCATTACACAAACCCGTCAGACAAAAAATAAGACGCTTTGCAAAAGAAAGGAATGCCATTATAAACCAGGAAGTTGATACGCTACTTCGAACCGGTAAGGTAAAGGAGGTAAAGTATCCCGATTGGTTAGCTAATGTTGTTGTTGTTCAGAAAAAGAAAGGGCAGGAAGAAGGCAAGCCAATCAAATGGAGAGTCTGTGTGGACTTCACTGACCTGAACAACGCGTGTCCCAAAGACTCATTTCCGATGCCACACATTGACGCTTTGGCTGACGCTACGGCAGGGCATGGAATGTTATCCTTCATGGACGCGTTCAGTGGATATCATCAATTACAGCTTCACCCCGATGACCAAGAAAGCACAGTCTTCGTCACTGAAACAGGTACGTATTGTTATATTGTTATGCCTTTTGGACTAAAAAATGCAGGTGCGACGTTTCAGAGACTAGTCACCTTAATGTTCAAAGATCTGATGGGGGACACCATGGAAGTTTATATCGACGACATGATCGTCAAATCAAAGAAAAAAGAAGATCATATCCATCATCTGACGGAACCCTTCAGAAGACTGAAGAAGTACAACCTGAAGATCAATCCAGCGAAATGTACTTTTGGAGTGACGTCAGGAGAATTTTTAGGATATATCGTCAGTGAAAGAGGAATAGAGGCAAGCCCGGAACAAATACGAGCAATTATTGACATTGAATCTCCAAAATCCGTCAAAGATATCCAGAGGTTGACAGGACGAATTGCGGCTTTGAATCGTTTCATTATAAAATCATCAGACATGTGCCATTTGTTTTATGACGTCTTGAGAAAAAACAAAAAAATCGAGTGGACAGATCGACACGAACAGGCGCTTCAACAATTAAAAGAATATATGATGTCGCCACCATTGCTCGCAAAACCCAAAAATGACGAAGAGCTGCAACTTTATCTGGCCGTTTCAGAGCACGCCGTCAGTGCAGTACTGACAAAAGAGGAGCAGGGGCAGCAAACTCCAGTCTATTACGTAAGTAAATCCTTAAATGGCCCGGAATCCAGGTATGCTTTACTAGAAAAGTTAGTTTTAGCCTTGATCATTGCTTCAATTAAATTACATTCTTATTTTGAATCACATACCATTTGTGTTAGAACTAACTATCCCATGAAGTCAATCATGAGGAAACCAGAATTGACAGGTCGCATGGCTAAATGGTCGATTCAACTTGGAGCTTTTGACATAAGGTTCGAACCGAGAACAGCCTTGAAATCACAGTCACTTGCAGATTTTGTTGCAGACTTCAGTCCAAAGCTCCAAGAGGAAGCAGAAAAAGAGACTTGCACTCTGATCGACGGATTGCCAAAGCAAAAATTGACATTGCACACTGACGGAGCATCAAACCAAAACGGCGCAGGTCTGGGCGTGGTACTGAAGTCACCACAAGGGGACACCATACTCCAAGCAGTACATTGCAATTTCACCGCTACGAACAATGAGGCAGAATACGAGGCGTTAATCGTCGGACTCACATTGGCAAGGGACTTGGGCATCAAAATCTTGGAGGTAAAATGTGATTCTTTACTGATAATTAATCAAACTAACGGTGTGTATGCAGCAAAGGACCCCAAGATGACATCTTATTTGCAAATAGTCCGAGAATTGATAACGGCATTTGACGAGATAACCCTTGAACAAGTCCCACGTGAAGAAAACACACAAGCTGACGCTCTGGCCGCCGTCGGATCATGTCTGGGGGCAGAAATCAATCGCAACATCCCTTATGTGCACTTGATGAGCCCAACAATTTACAGATCAGAGGTTGCCTCTACCATTAAAACCCCAGCACAAGACGACTGGACACAACAATACATAGCGTACTTAAAGCACAATACTCTCCCAGAAGACAAGAAAGTGGCCTTGGCTTTCCTATCAAGGGTAAGTAAGTTTCTACTGATTGATGGTGTGCTATTTAAAAGATCCGTCGCAGGTCCATATCAAAGATGTCTGACACCGCAAGAAGCCGCCAAAATATTGAAAACCCTTCATGAAGGGGAGTGTGGCAATCACGCAGCAGGGCGAATTTTGTCTAACAAAGCTCTTAGATTCAGATATTACTGGCCAACCATGAGAGAAGATGCAACCACTTTCACCCAAAGATGCAAGCCTTGTCAGATGCACGGACCAATTCGTCATCAGCCCTCCGAGTCGCTTCATCCAATTCTATCACCGTGGCCCTTTATGAAATGGGGGATGGATATTGTAGGAAAATTGCCGGAAGCGCCGGGGCAGAAAGTATATATGCTGGCAATGACGGATTATTTTTCAAAATGGGTGGAGGCTGAGCCTTTTCGTCAGATACGGGATGACCAGGTAATTTCGTTTATTAAGAGAAACATCCTTTGCAGATTCGGCATTCCTTCAGAAATCATTTGTGACAACGGATCTCAGTTTATAAGCACTAAGACCAGACGTTTTTGTGAGAATTACAATATCAAATTGGAAACGTCGACACCTAGGTACCCGCAATCTAACGGGCAGACTGAGTCTAGCAACAAAATTATCATTGCCAACTTAAAGAAGAGGCTTGAAAAGGCGCAAGGCCGGTGGGCTGACGAATTGCCCTTGATACTCTGGGCAAACAGGACAACTCCGAAAAATGCAACCGGACAGACCCCATTTTCTTTGGTGTATGGCTGTGAAGCGGTCATTCCTGCTGAGATTGAAGTACCTTCTTCAAGATATGGACTCATGACTGGGGAGTTGAACAATGTGGAGTTGGCGCACGACTTGGATACCATTGACGAGATCCGTGAACGAGCCAAGATCCGCTTGCAGACATATCAACAAATGGTTGCGAGAAGCTATAATAAAAATGTTCGGGCCAAGGTATTCAAAAGGGGAGATTGGGTCTTGAGGAGAGCGTTTGGCAATGAAGCAGCTGGGAAATTTAGTCCTAATTGGGAAGGACCTTACAAAATCATTGACGTCATTGGTCAGGGAGCATACCGCATGGAATCAATCGATGGTAAACGAGTCCCTCGAAGTTGGAATGCGGTACATTTAAAACGTTTTCATTTTTAATTAAAGTTCCTTTTCTTTTCTGGATTTCTATCCCTATTACTAAATGAAATAGCTAACTTGGACGTCGGAGGGCCGTTGGCTTAAGGCCAACGACCGACCCTGACAATGATTGCAAATACAGGAAGGCAAACAAAAATGGTCAAGTCACAGGTAATTAGTTACAGTTCACGTAATCTTGGATATGGTAAAAACAATTCACCGTTCACTAACTTAACCGTCGGAGGGCCGTTGGCCCCAAGCCAACGGCCGATCCCAACGGTACGGTATCATCGCAGGACTATGACAGGTTAAGATCGAAGTACCAGGTGACCGAGTACCAGAACAACAGATACAACGTCGGATCTGCTTATGACAAAACATCAGCATACAGGGGACATGGGACTCATTATGAAAAAACCATAAATGAAGTTCCATGAAACCAAATACGTTTTGGCCGAAACACACACACATTTATGACACATTATGACATGTTGCACACATAAACAGCAGGCATGCATACACAACAGAATACGCATAAACAAAAGTATGATCCAAGCAATAGCAAAAGCAGTGACAGATTCACATAATGGTGTGGACAGGGCTAGGCTGAACCGCCAAGCGTGAAGCCCATGAGTAGCGCAATAAGGCGTTAAGTCCCGGATAAACCACCGAGAACCCTTAACGCAAGTTGAAAAGTGTGAGAGTAATTCAAAAGCAGGGAATGTTTGTAATCCAGCAGACTTACAAAAAAGATGTATGCATGATCATCTGACCGGTAAACACTGAGGATCAATCTCATCGTCAGAATGACCCACCTCGAAGCCGTCTTCTCCTACAGGAGGATCCATCTCTTCCCTCAGTTTATGCCATGTAGCTACGTCCCGTTCCGCTGACCGGTGTGTCATTTCTCCTTTAATAAAAGATGTCATCAACTCACCCTTGGTCTTCCAGACATAATAGCAGGCGGCGTCAATTACTTCTTGTTTCTTTTTTCGACCATAAGCTTCCAAGGATTTGACTCTGGCGTTGAGCTGCAGTATCTGGGCAGATTGAGTAGAGCTTTTGTCTTCCAATTCTCGAACTAACTTTGCACTCTTATCAAGTGAAGATGCTAGGGAAATCTCCTTCTGTTTCAGTTCATCAACGGTTCTCTCTAATAAAGAGACACGAGCAGCAACAACAAGGCTCGCTTGAACACTCTGAAAAAGACAAGACAAGTTAGTCAAGAGTAAAAGGAAGGAAGCTCACTAAACGTGGTGATTCATCAGCACCTGAAACGCATAAGCGGAGGAAGCAGCAATAACACCGGTAGGGGGCAAGCAGTCAAAAAAGGGAGCAGAGGAGGCCAATTGAAATTGAGCCATTTCGTCTTTCATGGTCAAAGCGTCTTTCAATTGATAGAATTCCGAGGAAAGTGATAAGTGCATAACTTGTGGTGGCTTCGCCCAGGTATCAACCCCATGTTCCTCATGGGGGGCATTAGGGGCTGAGGCAGTATCAGGCGTCGGGTACTTGGGAACCTTTGGAGGATTTGCTGACAATTTAGAGGGCATCCTTTTCCTCCTCGATGCCATAGCCAACAACTCGTGGTCAGAAGGGACGGAACGAGAAGTGCTTGATGAAGTAGCTACGCAAATAAAGAGAAATAGAAGTTAGGGATAATCGACCCAACACTAATAAAGAAGAGCATAAACCTCAGATAGTACCTGCAATAGGAGTAGAATCCTTGAGTGGGGGCACAGGAGTATTCTTAACAATCGGAAAAACAACTTGTAAAGGGACGAAAGCGCTCATACCCTCGCCGTCATCTTTGGAAACTTCAGGTCCTTGCCCTGAATCTTCTACGGAAACGACATGTGAATTCTGATTCAAATCGTGTGCGGTAGGGGTGTGCCTACGAGACCGCCTTAACCCCCCATAATCAGACTCAACAGGAAGAGGCGACGTACCTTGAAAGTCTGACACCAAGTTCACGTAAGTTCGATCCTCAATAGGGAACGAAAGAATCCTGGCATTTCTCTCTTCAGAATGCAGACCGGGAACCAGTGGAATAGTCTTCCTCTCTGCACGTCACAGAGAAACAATGCTAAATACATCAAGTTTTATACATATATCCGAGAACGCAGAAAACATTCTGAAATTACCCGGTTCCATTACCTACACCCGAAGTTGCAAATCAGATAACAAAAATAGGAGACGGAAATCAACCGAGCAAGTCAAGAAACGCGATTCGAAAGAGAAACTAACCTTTGTGTAAATTCTCTTCCAGGAATGATCCGTCAGCACCTAACGACTCTTTATTCACAAAAAGTACAAGTTCATCCATCCCCGGTCATTAGCTTTGTCCACCTTATGAATGAGGGCCTCTTTTCCTTCCTTCACTGCTAAGGTAAAGCGACCGGCTCCTGAAGATCTGAGGTCGTAGGTGAAACCCAAGTCTTCAAAATCTAGGGCCAAGCTATGTTTCTCACTCAAGACCTCTAAAGCTCTGAGTACCCTCCATACTTGGGGCATGATTTGGGAAGGCGATACTCAGACAAAAGCAAGAAAGTCTCGAACTAGACGTGAGAATGGGAATTTCATACCTATCTTGAAAGGGTACATCAAGAAGTTTACCCAACCATCACAGAACCAATCTATCCTCTCGTTCGCTGCTGGAAAACGAATAACCGCATCATGGGGAAAGCCGATAGATGACCTGATAAAGTCGACATGATATTCTGAAAGTTTCGCTTGCTTTGAGTTCTTTGGATCTAAAATGTGTTGCGGAATGAAGGGTTGTGAAGCCATGAAGAATCAAGGCGCTGGCTGGATTTGCAAGAGATCGAAAGGAGAGGAGAGGAAGTTTTTCTTGCTGAACTAATGCACTAAGGGAAGAAGATAGTAGTGATTGATTGATACCGAACGGCTGACGGCCTTACACATTCCGAGGCAATGTCATGATGAAAAAATTCAAAGAATCGGCTGGCTCTTTAATTTTTCAAGATTGGTGCCCTCCTCTTCTTTGAATTGGGGGCAATTGTTGGGGCGTGGAGATACAGTAGCGGTTCGGCCCATTTCTGATAAAAGATAAATGATAAAGCCCAAAGAATCGAAGATAGAACCGAAGCCTAGTTAAGCAAAGAAGCAGACTGAGCGGATAAGGCCAAGCAAACGTGGAAAGATAAGTTGTAGAAACGAAGTCCTAACTGCGTGCGGGAGAAGAGGAGCAAATAACAACCTCCGCATGAGTAGGAAGAGGGGCTCATTCACTGGACAGTTGGGTTGGAGTCCAAGGGATAAAGCGTTAGAATAAATAGGAGGATGGAGGCTAATCATATCATTCTTTTGCTATTGTATTCATACACAAATATCTATCTGATTATATAAAATTCTTATCATTCAGATTTCATTCTATTGATCTTTTGCACGAGCCCTCACTCTGATTATAATTTTAGATTAGTTTAATTCTTGCTTAAACATATACTCCTTCTGTCCCTTATAATTTTGCCAACTTTCCTTTTTTGGTTGTCTCAAACACTTTGCCACTTTGCCTTTTAATCAATCAATTTGTGCTTCATGTTACTTCTCTCTCATCTGCACAAATCTCTACCACACAGTTTTTACTTTATTATTCTATGTATCAGTCAAACTTGGTAATCCTTTCGGGGACGGAGGGAGTATTTACTACTACCCCGTATAAGAATAAGATGGAGTAGATTTTTTAGTTGTTGGATTTTCACTTTCCTTGTTAGGTGGTTGGTGCATTTGGGATATCCTCATCATACTTCTGTGTTGACAAACAAATTGCGTTATTATTATTGAGAGAATGTTATATTGGTGACTTGGTGTCGGTCTCTGCTTTGATGTTGCGTTCAATGCATTTGCCATTATTAATAATAATTAATTAATAATATCAATCAATCATAATTCTAGTGACGGACAAGGCACAGCAATTTTTTGTGAACTCACGGTACAAGAACGAAGATATTTAAAAATAATAATAACTCTAAGTATACAATAAACACAACTGTTTTTGTCAAAAAGTAGTAATTTTGATTACAATATTAATTGATGTATTAAATTTATACATAGATATGTCACCATCTAACAAAAAGACTAACCCACGATACAGTCTCGCATGAGATACATATGATTCAAAATGGTTAATTTGTACCAATCATACCAACGTTATCAATTTTTTTAGTTGATTTTAAGATATCATACTCCTCATCTTATATTGTCATATTCATATATACAACATATATATGAATATACGTTAAATTAAGGAGTTATTATTATTTTTAAATATCTTCAACTGTAAAAATTACAGAGTATTTTATTTGGTCCAAAAGGTGGAATCTCCCACCCTAAGAGCTCCCCACCCGACCCGACAGGATGGTGGAGAAGTTAATTACGGTGACTCAGTCAACAAAGCAGCGGTACACCTTATACACGTGCGCACTAGAGGTCCAGCCTTATTTCAAGTTCTGTAACCTCCACACGGCCGCTGCGGGTTTCGAACATTGATCACTTGGTCCAATTTTCCCACCACTCGACCAACTGAGCTACCCGTGCGGGTACAAAGTATTTTATTTAGTTTATGTTAAGTGTTCATCATGTTGAAGAGAAAACGAGATTCCAACATTCCACCAGTTAAAAACATAGGTACATGTCGGGGATGACACCGTCTAGGGATCCGGATCAGGCCGAAACCAAAATCATCTGCAGACTGGGATTGAGTGAGGCGGTTCAAGTGTAGAACCAGCACCGCTGCATCGGGGTGGGGGTGGGGGTGGGGGGGTAATGGGGACCGATCTCGGGTTGCATTCAGTGGTGAAGGCAAGATGATGATACATTTGACTAGGTCGATACAAAGGATATTTTTAGAAATTTTTCCACAATTTCTTTAGTTTAACAATTTAATCAAAATTAAAAATTGGGGAGGGCTTAGATTGGCCTCCACTAATTAGGCCCCTAACTGGGTCAATAGAGCGGTCGAGGGGTTAAAAGTTGTGGTATTTTTATAAATCTGGTAAATAGCTATCATTTTTTATACTCATTCAAACCTTCAAAACTCTCATCACCAGGGATGGATTTAAGGGGGGCGCGGGGTGCGACCGCCCCCCTTGGACTTTCAAATTTTTCTACTATATAAGTAATGTTTTTGTAAAATTTTGATACTTTAATTAGATTCGCCCCCCTTATTTTTTTTTTGTTGAACATTGCCCCCCTTAACTTTTAGTTTTTAAAATTGATATATAGTCTTACATAATGTAATACTTAATCGGAGACTTAAAAAAGGAACATCTAAAATAATTTACATAACTATAATAAACAATAGAAGAACTCATTATTTGAGATGTAGGATACTTATTATATAAAAATTCTTAGTTTTGTAATGTTTAATTATCTTTATTCGATAACTAGTAAATAATTTTGAAAAATATATATCAAAATGTTTTTAGATCATGTGAAGTAATCCAAATTATAAATGTTTATTGACATTGAATTACACTATTCATTTACTTCTTACATTCTAAAAAGACTTTATTGCATAGATAATAAAATTTAATTATTTTAGCATTAATACAAATATAATATGCACTATATATATGAATTATCAATATAATATTATTCTAAAAATAATAATATCATACATACTATTGTAATATTAAAAGAACTGCTTGTGACTTATGAGCACCCTCAATGATAGACAAAAATTGTAATTCAAAAATCAATTCTTTATTTCTATAAGACTCATGTAGTTAAACAATGTTGAAATTATTTTAAAAGTACTCGTGAATGTGAACCTTATAAACTCTTTATATTTAAATAAAATGTTATATATCCTTTTTTATTTTTGTATTATTTTTCATTGATTTGTCATTTCTTATGCTTTAATGTATAAATACTTTTTTCTAGAGCACTCCAATTATAAAATTAAAGTTATTTTGTCATTGTCTAAACTTAGAATGTAATATATAGATTTAAATGTCGTCACGTATGTATTAATGAATTTTTTTTGAATAAAAATAGCCGCAGAGCCTTACACTAGTGAAAAAATTCGCCCCGCTACACTAGAAAAAAATTCACCCCGCGACACTAATGAATTTTTTATCTCCTACACTAACGAAAATTTTCGCCCCCCTTGACTCGAAATCCTGAATCCGTCCCTGCTCATCACCTTCATCATCTATATCGTCTGACCTCTATGATAATCACATCTTCACTTTATTTAATATTATTCATATTACTCAAAAAAAAAAGGATGACATCCCATCTCCGAGGGCCCCCAACCTCGACCGGATGGTACATTGGGAAGATGTGAATTGGACTATAATCTCAATCTGACAGATAGAGAGTGAGGCTTTGTCCCCGACACTTGCAGAAGGCATATGCATTCTTTAGTATAGTAACCTCTCATCGTAGTTGCCGGGATTCGAACCCGAGACCTAACCCTTGTGACACTCCCTCATATCATATAGAGCTAACATACTTATATAGTGATTTGTTTTTTCACTCGTGCGTTACACAAAATAACAATTTAACTAAAACATAGTCATTCTTTTAAAGAGATTATTCATGAGGGCATAAAATTGCTTTTGAAAATAGTATCCCAAGACAAACGATCTTAATATTGTTTTTGGAATATTGGGGCCAATTAAGTCATGGTACAAAATCACACTCTCTAATCAACGCGCGAAATATAAATTTATGTGTTATGAAAAGTTAGCTAATAAGCTGAAAAACATGCCCACCAAACTAGCTCTTAGTTAACGATTCGTATACCATGCGACCGTCTCACGGCGCGCATGGTATTCCATCCCATGGGCCTTGTTATTTTTTATTTCTCTTTTTCTTAAAAATGGTAATATTTTTTTTATTTTTGATTCGATTTTTATAAAATTTATATCAATTTTTTTTTTATTTTTCATGATCTTTCAAATGAGATCAATATTGCTTGTGTAATTTTAACATATTATCGAACTATATATACCAGTAGCAGAATGATGTAACCCGTGTGTAAAAAAATGTAACTCACGTTAAAAAGAAATGTTATTACTAGCAAGTCGAAATGTAACTAGTTTAAAACATTGATTTCAATGTAAACAATAAAAAAACGAGTCAATTTTTTTAGTTACTTTACCTAAATAGTGAATATGTTTTGTTTTTAATATTAAGACCATAAAATGTTTTGAAAAGTCATTTTTCCCCAACCAATCATTTTTTGCGAAAAAAATGATTTAAAAACAGGTTTTTTTGTTTTAATAAAAGGGGTTTATTTTGTGATGTAACTAGTGTTATGAAAATGTAACTTGTGTTGATAGAAAATCTAACTTAGGTGTATGCAAATAATACTCAATATGTTTTGTTTTTAATATCAGATCTATAAAAATGGTCTTTTATAAAAATAAATTTTCATTGAATAACAGCGTTAATTGGATTGTGTAACTCGCATTATATTGTCATGTAACTCGCATTATGGGAAATGTAAATTACATGTAAGCGAGATGTAACTTGATGAAGAAAGTTGACATGTAACCCGCGAATAACAAGATGTAACTCCGCATGTAAAGATATGTAACTTACATTATTGATCAATGTAACTCAAACTCATTCGAAATGTAACTTGTTGGAAAATTGAACATTTTTTTTGTGTGTGTTTGAGAATAATATATACTCCCTCGTTCCTAAATAAACTTCCAACTTTCCTTTTTCGCCCGTTCCAATTTAAACTTCCACTTTCCCTTTTTGGTAAAGAATTTGTGGTTCACAACATTTCTTACACATTTCTCTCTCCTCTGCACAACTCTCCACCACACAATATCCACTATCTTAAACTTTGTGCCAAACCCATTTGGAAGTTAAAATGGGAACGGAGGTAGTATATCATAACCATTGATTTCAATGTAAACAATGAAAAATTGATCCTAATAGCTTAATTACTTTTTTGAATAGTGAATATGTTTTATTTATAATATTAGGGCTATACAAATGATATAGCAGGAGTTTATTCCGTGGTTTAACTCACATACAGTAAGATGTAACTCGCGTATATTAAGATATAACTCGTGCACATTAAGATGTAACTTGCACAAAAGAAGATGTAATTTCATGATATATTATCAAATGTAACTTCAATAATCAAAATAAACAAACTCAATATATTAAAAATCCCTAAAAACATATAAAAGTGATAAAAATCTGTGTGTGTATGGAGTATTATATGAACACACGTGTTTGCTCCAAGTGGTACATCATTCATTTTT